GAATTTGAATTATCTTTAAAAGGCAAAGAAGGTAAAGAAGGTATGAAAAGTGCAGTTAAAATAACCATAAGAGCTGCAGTATATCATTACTGCGATTTAATTTAAGGAGATCTTTGGTTAAAAATGTAAATCAGAAGAAGATAGAAGAAACAATCAAGAAAAAAAAAATACTCAACAGCAGCTGCAGAGCCAACTGTAAGAACTTAACACTTACACCGTTCTCACAAAATAAAAAAAAAAAACAAGAGACGAGCTGCTGGCAAAAATAGCTCTTTTCTGTTTGATTGAAGGTTTGTGTGACGCACTGCACAGTTTCTTCCTCCAAGTTGAGAGGAGGTGCTATAAATGAAGCAGGAAAAAAAAAACACATGAAACCTCAGCGCAGAAAGCGGAGGTCGGCCCAGACCGTAAACTTTTGCCTTTTTCACTGTTTACATTTAATCAGAAGCTCCGACTGTGCCGGCCTCCCTCCCTGACCTTCGACCGCGGCGGCAACGGAACCGTCTCCGCGGGTCGAACCGGGACAGAACGGGAAGTGTTTTTGCCAGGAGCCGGTGACAGATGTGAGCGTCGACTCAGCTCCGCCAAACTATTAAGAACAGAGGCCGAAAATAAACATTTAGGCTTCGGAGACGAGAGATATCCCCCGCTATCAGCCGCTCGCCAATTCTTCCAGTTACATAAGAGGTCAGGACGCAGCGGTGCTGGCTCTGATGCAGGTTTCAGCAGCACCGGCTCTGAGGTAAGAGGCAGAGAAGTACGCAAAAAACCCAGCTGAACCTGAACACAGCATCTATGCACAAACACGGGTGACATTCAGTCAGCTGTTACACCGTTTTAAAGCGTTTTTCTATGATTTTCTCAGGATAAACAGCTCTCAAATATATAGTACAATTTCAAAAACGGTTTGGTAATTTTCTTAAACAGCAGCTAATTGTAGCTTATAGCAAACAGGAGGAATGAGCGCATTTGTAGTGGGCTATTTTTAGTAAATTAGTACATGTTTGGTGCTCTAAATGTGTATTATGTGACTCCGTGACGCATTTTAACTGTTATTTATGTGATTTAAAGGCATTAGAAGGAATCCCGGCATGAATCCGATTTGTGGCCGATTATAACGGAAGCAGTTTGACGTTTTGACAAATAAGCAGATAAGCTTTTATTATCACGAATTACGAGAAGCGATGTAAAATAAACTGACCTCACGTCTGTAAAAAAAAAAAAAAAAGAAAAAGAAAAAAAGAAAAAAAAACATGCCCCCGCCAAGACAGAAGCTACAACAGTGAGTTTATCTTATCTGGGAGAGTGGAAGCAGGAGGGAAACAGCTAGCGTAGCCAAGCAGCAGCTACCAGGAACTGATTAAAGAATCCACACGAAAACCAAAGTCCCGTCAAAGAGGAAGAACTCTGGACAGAATGAGATCTCCTCCGTGGTGTCACCAGACATACAAGAAGCGGTCCTGGTTTCCTCTTAAGGTAAAACTTAAACTGCTCCTTTAACCCTCTGGACCTCAAAACCCACCAGTGGATTTTCAAGGGATTTCCTCCGAATGATAAAACGAGACAAAAACATTGGAATTGTCACATTTTCAACTTTCCGACTTTCCTTGAACGACACATGCTCAGTTCCATCAGGATATACAATCAAATCTGAGCTTAAAATTGTAATATTTCATCAAAATCACTTCATTTTACACAGCTTGTTTCCTTTGCCAGATTCTGTGAAAGAGAAAAAATTCTGCGCTTCTCTGCGCAACTGAAAAGCCACGAATGACTCGGCCTCAAGCGACGATCACGTGATGAAAATTCTGAGACTTTTTAGTTGAACTGTGTTTACACGCAAGAGACAAGAGCAGGCATGATTCAGAAAGACTGAAAACACACCTGATCAGCAAAATAAATGCAGCATGGCTTTAAAACTGGTGCGCGATACATTCTGCATGGTGAAACACATTTCTACAGTTCATGTGCACAGAAGTGGGTTTGTAGAAGCTGTAAGAAGGTAAATAGGCTTCATCAAATAGCCTATCCACAGCATAGGAGCAACTATTTTATACCAGTGTTGGAAAAATGTTGTACATGTCGGTGCTTTTTTCCTTTTTTATGATTTACGGTATTGTGTCTGCATAAAAGACACCATCAAGTTCTCTCTCCTCCTTCATGGATGTGTGGTTTTCATAGATTGATCAGATAGAGTTCAAATGTGACGGGAGCAAATAAAAGCGCCCAGGAACAGCGTGGAGGGTTATTCTGAGCGACCCCGGTGGATGCGAAACCTGCAGGATTAAGGCCAACTATTGAGCTGCTCATCTAATCCATGTCAGGATTTCCTTCAGCTCTGAATCTCCAACTCATCAACCGAAAAAGGAAAAAAAATAAAAGCCCAGAAAGTTCACCTATAAATAGAAATGTGTGACAGGAACGGAAGCATTTAATGTGTCAATCAGGAAAAGTGATTTAAATGCGGTTTCTTTATTTCCAGCTTGTTCCAGCTCCTTAAAATAAACATTAGAAGAGATCTGAATCCCTCGTGGAACGGCAGGAAAAATAACCTGACAAACACCTTAAAAAGAGAGGTTTTTTTTCTCTCCTTGACTCTGACAAAGCAGTCACCTAAAAACAACAAGGATTGCCAACAAAAGCCCGGCGCTTTGTGTTTCTGTGAACGGCGCTGTCATGACTCAGTGCTTTTCTGTCAACGTAGTGTCACCGCCAACGCCAAAGGGCCCGGGCCTCTGAGATACAAAGGCCAGAATCAATGGAGCTTTGGAAAAACTGATGGAAAACCACTGGCCGACCGCTGAGAGGAGCCGAGCGACTGGGGGCCAACGCCGTCACCGTCACCAGCCGCCGCCACCGAAACGCTCGTCAACTTTTATCCGTCCGACGAGCAGAAAAAGCCTCCGGAGCTGCACAGTCGATATCGCTCCGACTTCCACCCCCCTCCCCAAAAAAAACCCACTTCCAGGCCGAGAGACAGATCAAAACAACCACACGCGCATCGAACTTGCTAATGAGCGCACAGGCGAGCAGAAGAGAGCGTTAAGGGCAGCTCGTTCTCAACTCGCTGACTTCAAACTGCAAAGTGAAACTGCTATTCAGCGAGCAGGGCCAAAGGAGCATTCACTCTCAGCCGGCAAAAAAAAAAAAATTAGCATTTTAAAAGCAAAAGCCGCTTCCTGATTCGGTTGATTTAACGAGGAAAACAAAAAGCAGGCGGGTCACTCCCAGCTGCGAGACAACCGAGCAGAAAGAGCCGAAGAAATGCAGAGAAAGACAGAGAGAGACACCTTTAAAGAGAGTTTCCAGTAAAGAGGCCTTCGATTGGGACACATTTACATCTTGTGAGCCTTAAAAAAAAAAAAAAAGTGCCCAAAAAACAGCTGCTTTTCTGAATTTGCTTAAACTTCTGAACCCCAGAACCCACCAGCAAGTTTGAGAGAAATCACAGCATTTATCAGAATTAGAAACTGGAAAACCAAGCTTGAAACCACTTAATTCCACCTGTCTCATTTAATAATTTGACAAAAATTAGCATTATGAGCTAAATAAACTCTGTAAGGAACAAAAAAATCGTCACAAAAACACCTTTAAAGACAATGTCAGGTAAAAGGCCTTTAATTGGAACAAACCAAAATCCTGTAAGTCCTTTAAAAGCTGCTAAATACTTGGATTTACTGCTTCCTCTCTGAATTTGTTTAACCTTCTGAACCCCAGAACCTACCAGGAAGTTTGAGAGAAATCAGAAATCGCTAAAATTACAGCATTTATTAGAATTAGAAACTGGAAAACCGGAAAGAATCGACATTCTCGGCTTGAAATCGCTAATTCAACATGTCTTGTTTAATAATTTGCCAAAGAATTCTATGTTCCTTAACATAACTGTGAAGCCAAAAGCAAATCAGTTACAGGATTAATAAATCTAAAAACACCTTTAAAGACAATGTCAGGTTAAAGGCCTTTAAGTGGAACAAACCTAAATCTTTTCAGTCCTGTAAAAGCTGCTAAACACTTGGATTTACTGCTTCCTCTCTGAATTTGTTTAACCTTCTGAACCCTAAAACACACAGTCAGGCTTGTGTGTGTTACAAAAACAGCTTATCAAAGAAACAAACTGCAAATACAGAAAGAATCGTCGGTCTTTGAACTGCTCGTCTGTTAAGTTGGGAAAATGAACTAAATTTAAGCTTGAAATCACTTTATTCTACATTCCTTATTTAAATATTCGCAGAAAATAAATCGTTTGCTGTAATTGGATTCTGTAAAAAAACAAAAAATTCAGTGCTCCTCTGTGAAACCATGAAGCCATTCACAAGTCAGCTGTGTCCAACAGTCACGTGACAAAAATTCAACAACTTTTTGGCTGAACTGCAGGCAGTGTTTACAAAAAGCAAAAAAAGCAATTATGGAAGTTAATAAAAACACAAGAAGTGTGTAGAGTCACTTTTTTTGTTTTCAGTTTTTCTAAAATACATAATCAATGAACTTCCATAGTTTCTTTTTTTAAATGATTTAGGGCACTGCGATTTTGTTTTAGTGCACAATTCTGAGTTCCATCTCCTCCTTCCTGTTTCCATAGAGGTGCAGGACTTCATACTGCAGTGATAAATGATCCACAGTGAGGAAAAATGGAGCGAAAAATGCCCAGAAAATGAGTTCAAGAGGTTAAAAAGTGTCCAGAACACTTAAATTTCCCTGCTTCTTCTCTGAATTCGCTTAATAAAACATGGACACGATCTCCTTTTAAGGCCTCGGGTTTGAAAAGCTGAACAGTAAACACGGAGCTGAATCATCTTCCTAATGGAAGCTCTCCATTCACCCCAGGAAGCTGTATGCACAACACATGCTCCGTCCCAGCATGCCCCGCTTCCCATTTACACAATTAATACTCAATCTGTTGTGCTTCATGAATTAGTAAATGAATTCTGCCACAGAGAGACAGTAGAGAGAGAGAGAGAGAGAGAGAGAGAGAGAGAGAGGCGAGTGGGGGGGTAAATTACCTTCTGAAGGCTGTTTGGGTTCAGCTGCGTCTTGTCTATTATCTTAATTGCCACCTGTGGAGAGAGAAAAAAAAACAGAATCGAAACTGAGCTAAGTGGGACATAACAGCAGAGAGGAAGTGGCAAAAAAAGACAACAACTCGACAGAAAGAAAACGAAACCAAATGTGTGTTTTTCCAACAGGGAAAACTTAAAATAAGCCACCGCGTGAGAGAGAGCGAGACGACGGCTTCGACAGCCTCCTCGAGTTAAAGCTACGGCTGGATGCAAAGTGCAGAATAGTTAAGAGAATCAGGAGGGGATTGAGGGGAAAAGAGCAGCATCGCTTCCTTAAATGTCGGCGGCCGTGTGAAGACGAGGTTTGCTCTTTCTGCTCATCAATTATGAACAAATCAAACGCTCAGCAGCAGCAACGGCGTCGGCTTTGCCCTGAAAACAACCATTAGTGCCAACGAGATCCAGAGCGGTGGATCCGTTGGTGTATGGAGCTGCTGCCACTCCAACGGTCCCACATCTTCCACTCAGAAACTTGGCACAGAAACCTAAACAACACCTTTTTGTTGATACCATACTTACCTATGAACACATTTAACCCTCTGAGTCGAAAAACTTAAAACTGACTTCAGTTATAGAGGCTTTTGGACCAACCTGTCATCTTCCAACAGCCCAGACTCTCAACTGTCGCTGCAACATTTTTGCCCAGAAAACATTAACGTTAGTGATGCACGATATTAAAATTTCTGGCCGATACCGATATTAAGATTTCTGATATCGCCGATAATCGATATTACCGATGTCAATATTCTATTTTTGTTCACACCAAAAACAGAGCATAAGTAAGCACTGTGGGAAAACGATTCAAAAGAAGCCCAAATAAGACAGTCTTCTTTATTACGGAACAAAAGTAAAACATATTTAAACATATTCAAGTCCAGGACCATTTAAGTACAAACATCTGTGAAATAGCAGCGATATCACACGTAGAGACGAAGGCGCTGATGTTTGACAATCATCGGCTAAATTTGTTCATCGGACCGATACCGATATATGGGAAAAAACACTAATATCGGCCAATACCGATGTGGTCGCCGATAAATCGTGCATCCCTAATTAATACTTAAAGAGATACCACATTACAGTTTTACCCAACAAGACTTTCTGCCAACAACCTCCCAAACTCTCTCTTTTTGGACCAATGTTAACATTTTTTAAGTCGGTAATTGACCTGTAGTACTTTATTCTTTCATTCTGTAGATGCTTTGTGATAGAAAACATTAAAATATTTAAGAATGTATGTTACACACAGTCAGTTATTAGAATTTACAGTTTATGTTAGGTGACACTTGTGATGTCAAGTAAGGCAAACAAACTCAAACACACTGTGCTACAGCCTTTTTTTTTTTTTTTTTGCTGCTTTGTTCTTCTTTTTCCTTTTTGACTAATCTACAAATCAGATAGATGTGGGTTTTGTTGTTTAACTTAATTACAACACTCATAGCTGGTTAACGGTCAGGCTGGACGTGTGCACAGAAAAGGACAGGAGCAGAAAAACTGAAGATCTGACTGAGTGGATTGAATTTAACAATTAAATTAACGTGATCGAGTGCAAAAAAAAAAACATCCTATGAATGTAAACTCACTTGATTTTAATTTGGGATAAATCTGATATCCCAACACCTTATTTAATTTTCTTGGTAAAGAGCTGTCTGAGTTTGCACGCTGCAGAACTGATGGAGACTAGAAGCTTCTCTGTGCACAGCCGACTAGTGAACATCTACGGTGGGCTGCAGGTGAGGCGTTCAGGGAACATCAGGAGCGTCTATGGTTGAGCAGATGTTCACATGTGAGGTGTATTGGAAACTATTTTATCTATATTTGGCATCTAGGAGGAATTCAGGTGACGATTATTTTAATGCAGATTTGTACAGAAGCAACATAAAAGTGAAAGCAGATTTTTTTTTTTACCTAAAAGAGAAAAGGCACCCAAAAAAACCCAAACATTTTGCCTCTAAAGTCAATAAAAAGGGTTTTAAATTTATTCTTTCTTACCAGGTTACATTTGTAATTTAGGACAGATATACTTCTAAACAACGTATTCCTGCCATGTCTTCTACTGTTTTAAACATGCAGTGAAAGGCTCGTATTTCAAACTAAACCAAACTAAACCTAAAGCTAACCAAGTCATTTAAACCGTAAGCTTAACCAAGCTTCCAACATATTAAAGAGCCTAACGTGGCCAGATACTTTCCTAACCCTAACCACGTAGTTCTGGTGCCTAAGCTGAACCAGAAAACAAGTGAAAAAACAAAACTGACCAACAAGCGAAGACTGATGAATCCTAGTCTTGCAGCAGGAAGTCTGGTTTCTGGTTTATGTCTCCACTCACCTCTTTTAGACTTTCCCACCATGTCACAGGTGACTAATCATGTTTATTCTGAAATGACATGACCTTCAGAACCTAACGGAGTGCAGTTTACTTGTATAGGGACGCACTGGTAGAGGAGAAGCGACAGGGGAAGTGAAGATAACTTCACTTGAGTTGACTTTACGTACAGCCATTTTACGATGCTAGCGGGGGCTGATGTATGCAGCTGGATTATTGTTTGTTGTGTCTCCTGTACACCACCTTCCTGTTTGTACGTAAAAGTGAAGGGAGTGGTTGACGCCTGAGATGCTGCTACTGTACTGACATCCGGCACGTTTTACTCCACCGACTGTTTCTAGAATTTCAAAACCACGGGGACGTTGTGGACCATATGTCCCCATCGAGATGTTTCTGCCAATCCGATCCGAGCCATTAAATAAACAGCATCTGCCAACATCTAACACTGTTTTCCTAGATTAGACACACCTCAGGCATTGTAGATGAGCTGACCCTCTTACTGTAGAGGGGCACCATGATATCAGCTTGTGTGAGGTTTAATGGTGTCAAGTGTTAAATCATCTTTAGATAAAACAGTGCAGCAGCCCTACACCGCAGTAGAACATCTGATAGCTGTGGCCTTTATGTCATATTTCAAACAAAGAATCCGGTATAGTTTTGTGCCGGACACTTCAACTCAAAGATGTAAAGATGGTTATGTTCAGAGTAAAACCACGCCGAGATCTCACCTCTCTGCCGGTGAGGATGTGCCGGGCCAGTTTGACCTTGGCGAAGTTGCCCTTGCCGATGGTTTTGAGCAGTCGGTAGTTGCCGACGTGGGGCTGCTGCGGCTCCTCAGAGCTGCGGGATCGGACGCCGGTCCGAGCCGAGCGCGAGCTGATCTCCTGACGTCCATTGCTGTGAGACGTGTGCTGCGGGGAGAGAGACACAGAAAACCGTCAGGCCGGCTGTTGAAGCGCCGTTAATGTGGAACATGAACATGTATCAGCGGTGACTCATGTTGACCCGCCGTGACGTATCCACTCAGGCTCCGCAGGAAAAAACACTACTGATATTTATAGTTGTGCATTCACACAAAGAAAGTGAGCTTTTCTTCCACCGGCCACAGATGGCTGATAGACTCAGTGCAGCTTTATCCTGCAAGAGTCTAAAAACCGAGGAGAGAGGAGATGACTGCAGGCGGTTTCTGCAATTTTAAAGGACAACATTGTGGACTAGCAAATACTTATTGAGTAACTTCTTAACTTTTGTTCTATTAAATATCAGACAACAGAGACAAATACCCGTCACAAGTTTGCACAGTGCAAGACAACATCATCAAAACCCAAAGACAACCAGTTTACTAATTATATGAAACTTTAAAATCAGCCCATTTCTGAGACTGGAACAAGTTCGTTTTGGCTTCTAGGAATGAAAAACACTTAAATTAGTCATCTATTCTCAAATATCAGATTAATTTTCTGAGGTCAGACTAATCACATCTGCTCAAAATTAAATAATCAAGTTAACATTTCCATGACTTTAAGAGACGCTGCATTTAAAAAACGATCACCAGGAAATGCTCCCAGTTGATCACTTATCAGGCAAAGACTTTCACATGTTCGTCTAAATTCTGTATTTTTATTATATATAGTAAAAATGGCTTCACTTGCATACATGTCCAGAGGAGAAACCATACCACTGGGTACAGTTTTGTTTTTTTTTAATCAATCTCGGAATCACAAAATACTGTTAATAGAAACAGAAATCGTCCTGTTTCGCAGTGTTTTTATGAATAAAATGTTCTGTGTATAAAGATAAATGAACAAACCTCTCAGCAAAAAGTGTCAGAACATAGATTGGAATAAAAATGGGAAAGTTTGGCGTATATAAAGTGCTGCTGAAGTGGAGATTTGTTAAGAAAGTATTGTGACTAAAGCCTACAGACGCAGGCACTAAAATGTGTATTCTGGGTGTTTTCTTTGCAGCAGCCTGAAAGAAAACTTACTGCTTCCAATGTCTCATGTTAAACCATAAATAAAGTCATAAAGAATGTATGTAGAAACACTTCCTGCTGCTTATTGATGTACATTCAGATGATTTCAGATTGAAAAGCTGCTTTAATTATCCCACCCAGACGCGTCTCGTAGCCGGCGTCCACATCATAATCGAGGTCACCGCACACGTCACCGACTATGTAACTGAAAAGATGTGACCAGGTTGAAAAGCCGGAGCCTGAGCTGAACTTTAGGTCGTGTTATTGGCTGGTTAGATATTTGTTGCTCTGGTCTTCCACGCTCTCTTGTCCTGCTTTGAACAGCTGCCCAACAACCGCTAGCTGCTGGAACAGGAATTAGTTTTTACCCATTTTCCTGTAACTGTGTTGAAAATACCACTTCACTGCACCGTTTCTACGCTCAACATACAAAACATGCAGAGAAAATATAATAAAATCCAGCGGCACATCGCGTGATGTCCTGAAAATAGGATGCAGAGCAGAGCAACAAATAAAGATCAGTGAAAGTTAAAGGGTCAATCCATAACAGCAGTCTGGCTCATATACCCAATTACACGAGCTAGAAACCGTGGAGCGGCTTTACAGAGGGACAGATCTTGATGCTACTTGTTCTGACAGTTGAAACAACACGAAGACTCATTAAGGATCTCAGATTTGTTGCAGGAAAACATCACATCTGCTCTTTAATTTCATAATTTTGTACTGGCCAACAAAATCCTGTTTACTGCTACGTCCGCGGGAATTTTGGCGCATTTTGGTTGAGAGAATCACACAAGGCTGCAAAAAGATGCCATCAGAACAAATTTAGAGGCAAAACTGCTCAGAAAACCAAGCGAATTGTGCATTTTTCGATCAAACATAAACCGCAAGAGCGCTGGTGGGATTTTGTGTTGCACAACTCTGACGGCACGGCCAATGGAGCCATTGATTTTTTCGGGTGTTGGAATCAAAAAGCACCCCTCCGCGTCCCAACAACAACAAAAACCCCTCTCTGACAGATACCCGGTGTGGCCTCGGTATCGACTGATACCTCATTAAAAGTGGCAGTGCACTCCGCCCCGCCCGGCTCTGCCCATCCCCGACCAAACTGACCCCATTGGCCCTGCAGACAATGAGCAGGACAGTGATGAAGTGGGGAAATTAACAACCGCAGTATCGACTTTCACGCAGACCCAGAATTTTATATAGAAGTCAAACATAACCTACTTTATTTTATCACCACACGGATCGTAAATCAACTTCCTGCCGCATAATTATCACCCTGATTACCAAGGTAGGACAAGGTCACAATAAATTAACGCTGCAGAGTTTAAAGATCGCAGCGAGAATATTCAGAGTAGTTACGAAAACCGCAATAAGGTCACTTTCGTCCCCGCTAAGCAGCGCAGGCACACTTTAAGTCACTACAGGAATATTTTAGGACTTCTTCAGTGATAGCAGCGGAGATAAAAATACCACCAACTAGGATAAGGTCACTGTTGAATACAAAAAAAAAAAGAAGAAGAAGCAGCAGCAGCGCCTGCAGGAACATTAGGATGCAGTTTTTGTTCCTACTCTGCACACAGAATCATTTCTTAAAAGACCACCATTTCCATTTTTTTTTTTCCCAGCTGGCAACTTCCTGTAACAAGTAAAAAATAAATAAATCTGCCGGCTTAATTCGACTCCTTTCCTTCTCAGTGGTTACTCACAAAGCTGCGGTGTCTCCTGGCTGCCTGCGAGCCCGTCATGTTTGAGCAGGAAAACGCTTCGCCCCGCTGATGATGCCCATAGAGGTTCCCACAACACCAGATTTTCCCAACTCAGAGCCCCGATAGCCACAGAGAGAGTCGGAGGCAGGAGGGGGGGAGCGTTGAGCCGAGTCAAGCCGGCTGCAGCAGACGAAACCAGAACGGAAACCAGACGCGGTCTTCTCAAAATAAAAGCCCTCAGACGGTGGGTGTGTTTCTTTACCTACAGCCGGTGGACAGAGGTGGTGGCGAGTCGCGAGGGGAGGAGCGTCAGAGGACGTGTTGCCTTTAACAAAGTGTTTCTCTATTGTTACCCCACTGAAACCCTCCCGTAATGGGACCATTCACCCCACCCAGACACTTTAAAAACAGAAAAAAGAATCTAGGGATTTCCAGCTTTCTGATGGTTCTTGGATTTATCATCTGCTGTGTGCGGTTTTGTTGGGAAAATCATCCAAATCCAAGCTTGAAATGGTGATACTTCAGCCAAATCGCATTACCTTACAGGTCTCACTTGAAAATGTACCAAAAATGAAGCACTTGCCACTGATTCTGTACAAATAATAATAAAAATCTGTGCTTCCTGCGCAAATGTGAAGCTTCGACAATGACTCATGTCGTTTATAAAAGCCAAAATAACACCATTTATCAGAGCCAGAAACTGGAAAAACAGAAGAAAAAAGCGGCTTTCCGATGCTTCTTGAATCTGTCATCTGTGGCATTAGACTGTCCTCAATAAAATTAACAAAAAGTTTTTGTGATTTCATCAAAATCACTTCATTCTACATGTCTCAACTAAAAACTCACCAGAAATAATTCACCTGATTCTGTAAAAGACTCCAAAAAAAAAAACAATTCTGGGCAACAAAGTGCAACTGAGAAGTCGTGACTGACTCAGCCTGGCATGTTGTTTGTAAAAAAAAAATAATGAAAAAAAAACAACAAAATGTCACCGTTCATCAGAGCCAGACACAAACAGAAGCTTCAGATTTTCTAATTCCTCAAAGTCTATGAACTGATCATGCTGCACTGAGAAAACTGACCCACAATAAGTTTAAAAATCGGGATATTTCGTCAAAATTCAAGAAACAAAAAATAGTGAGCCCTCTGCGTAACTGTGAAGCCAACAGTGACTGAGCTGCAACCAACAGTCGTTCGACAAAATTCATCAACTACCGTAATTTCCGGACTATAAGCCGCTACTTTTTTCACACGCTTTGAACACTGCGGCTTAAACAACGATGCGGCTAATTTATGGATTTTTACCATTTTTATGAATTTGCCTCGAGACCAAAGTGACATTGAGAGCGACAACGAAAGACAGACTGAGGAAGTGACGAAGTAATTCTGAGGCTGTTCAACTCCTGACGACACTGAAGAAGACGACTTTAGTGGTTTTAGCGCAGGAGGAAGATGAAGATAGCGATCAATGACTTTGCCTGGTAGGTTTTATTTTCTTAACCAGCCATGTTACAGGAAAAAAAGCATTTACGTATTAGTGTATTTTAAAGGTACGTATTTAACTTAAAGGTTAAAAAAATCTTTCTGTGTAAATATCTGGACACCTGCGGCTTATATTCAGGTGCCTCAATAGTCCAGGAATTACGGTATTTGGCTGAGCTGCAGGCTGTGTTTGCAAAAAGTAGACAGATGAGTATGGAAACATATCTGAAGGTTTAAGAGGAAAATAAAACATCGATGAAGTAAATGCAGCACGGTTAAAAACATGTTTTTTTCTAGAATTGGTGACACCTGAGGAAAAATGCTGCACACGTTGATTTGGTTTTTTTGCAGCTTTTGTGAAATAATTGAAGAAATTGAACTTAAATGCAGAAAAATTGAGCTATTATATAAAATCAATTCTATAAAACAATTCTGAGCTCCCTCTCCTTCTTCCATAGAGGGGCAGGATTTTATATTGCACAGAAAAATGAGGCCGCAGCGAGGAAACACGTGACAAAAGAAAAAAAAACGTCCAGAAACTATCTGGAGTTCAGAGGTTTGAATTGCTCCGTTTGCCACCAGAGCCTTTAATTCTTCATATTCATTTTATTTATATCTTCAGCTAACAATTATTTAATCAATCTGATTCATATCATCTTCATCTTATAAGAAAACAACAACAAATGTCTATCAGTGCTTGAGAGAACAACTATCTGAAATCCGATTATATTCGATTTAATGTGATTTAGAACCAAAGGCCGCAGCTACCAGTCCTGTTCATTGGGGATTAATCTGTTGGTTATTGTCTCGGAAAATGCTGGAATACGTCGATAAAGTCTCACAAGAAAAATGTCTTGTTCTTTCCACAACCCAAAGATTTTGAGTTTCACAGAGGATGAAAGAAACCAGAAAATATTTACATTTACGAAGCTGAAATCAGAGAATTTAGACTTTTAAAGGCTCTTGAGAAAATGTACTCAAACCGAATAATCAGCTATGTGGGTGCGTAAGATAATAGTTGACGGCTAACTGATTAATCGCTGTGGCTTCATGAAGACAAAGAAAAGCAGCAAACTACAACAGAGTGAACAACACATGACTGATTAACACACCAGTTGTTGATTAATTTACTTTAAAATCAACGTGTAATTGCAGCACTAAATTTCCAAGCGACATTTTTTGGTTTTCGTTGCTGCTGATTTTGAGCCTCTCGGTGCTGAATCTTTACATTAAGAGCTCGTGGAAAAGTCTAATTTCCACGGGATCAATAAGATTTCCCCACATCTTATCGCCCTCGGTGCTGTGTTTGTTCGGCGTTAATTCTTATCTCCAGCTGACTCTCTGCTGCTACCATGATGAGTCATGAGATTCAGATGATATCACATGCAGACATTACGTGTTCGCAGCAACACAGACGGGATGCGGACAGAAACAGGAATGTATGGAAGACACGCAGCAAAATGGAGATGAATGGAGCTGGAATCTAATATGTGAAAACTGCCTAATTTAAACAGTATGACTCGCAGCAGTGCGGCAATTTAGCCAGCAGCTACACAAGCAGTAGTTAACACATTGGAGAGTAAACATAGTGGCTTATTCTTGATTTTCTGTCACAAGACTCAATAAAACACTTGGGCTGAAAAAGGAATTCCTGGAACAATCAGCAGATTATATGAATAACACTTACTATGGCCACTTAATCAACGTCTTCTCCTGTTTTCTCATTTTCCATCACAATGAAAATGATCGTTAACTGAATAAACTGGGCTCTGTGGTGTCATCAGAAGGTGGTGGAATGGCACTAATAAATCTAATTCAAAAAAGCTGCAAACAAAACCAGTTGTTTGCCAACCACCAATAAAACATTAGAGAAGAAAAACAAAAATGGAGAGAGGTTTTCAGGAATTGTTCCCAATTAGAAAACTTATATTTACTCTTGTGTGTCAGTTGGTATCGGCCATATTTATGCTGTCTGTCGATGTAACGGTCTGTTTTGTTAATTCAATGTTCATCAGGTCAGGACTTAATGAGAAAATGTGCCTCCACCTCTTGTTAACTCTTTTTAGAAAATGCAATTAAAAAAAAAAAACTTTAAATAGACATCTCAAGTGAGTATACAAACTTGGGAAAGTAATTTCCAGTTTTGCAATTTCTTTTAATTTTTTCTACTTTCTTTAATTATTACTTCTTTAAATCACATAAATTTAGGTAATGGAAGCATGACTAGTGTGTCAGAGTTGGAGAGCAAGGCCTGGTCTCTACATAGGAGAAATACTAAAAAACCAAACGGATTATCAGCTTTCTGGCAGTCGAGGAAATGAACCAAATCTTAGCTTGAAATTGTGATATCTCATTCACTCAAAACAAACCATTTGCTCTGATCACATTTTAGATAAAACATATATTCTGCGCAGCGTCATGATCACATTCAGGTGGTAAAAATGCTGAGATTTTTCAGCTGAACTGCAGGAAGTGTATACACAGAGCAGTACAGTGAAAAGCATAGAACATAACTAAAAATCTAAAACTAAAAAGTACTAATAATACATATATAGATATATAGTAAGTAAAGTCACCATGTTTCCCAGTAACACCTGTGGACACTTCTAAAAACAAAGCTGCATGTGTTGAATCCAGGTTTTTTTTTTTTAATTTTTGTAAAGGATTTTTTTCTAGTTTTCTTTAATAACATTATAATTGTCTTACATTACAGAGGAGACATGTTTTTTATTCCTTCTCCTACAATGCTGGTGCTGTTTCCTCAGAAGCACGGGACTTCATGTTGCGGTAAAAAAACGAGAGGCCTACAGGTGCAGAAAACGCCCTGAAACCGGGACTCGGAGGGTTAAAGCGGCGAACTTAACTTTGAAAACCCCGACCGGAAGCGGAGACACTGCGGTTACCTTGACAACGACGTTCGTTCACGCAGCAGATTCAGGTGGTCACTGGGGAGGGGGCGGGACTAATGACACCATATTAGGAAGCTGAGCGGCTGAGCGCTTTGAGCGACAGCTGCGGGAGCCAATGGGCGCGCCGCACAGAAACTACTGTTGCCTGCCAGAACCAGCAGGCAAAGTACTGTAGTTTTGTTCGCGGTTGGGCCTAAATATCCAGAGTACATCCTAAATACCGACAGTAACACGAAAACTCATGAGTGAAATACACATTTAAGTGCAAATAAGTGTGATTATGGACGCCGATTTTAAATTACAGGGCGTGTTTGACGTAGAGGATATGCTTGTTTACGATTCACCCACAAAGTGTGTCAAACTATTCGCTCATTTCTAGTCCAATAAAGCAACTAAACGCTATTCAACAGCCATTTTTTTATTCTCTTTTCTAAAACTCTGTGATATTTAACAGCAGCGGGAGAAACAACCCAACAAACAAGGCTTTCTACTTACACTTTCCGTCACCTTCTCGTTGACGGTGGGCAAAGGAGTTTTTGTTGACATCTTTCTTATTCGTCCTTCTTCGGCCAGCGTCCGCCCGACGTCCCAAATCCTCCGCGTTCGCCCCGAAAAAACGAGATTATCGCTTCGCTGCGCGGCTCCGTCCGGACGAACGGTCTCAGCATGGATCGTGACAACGTTCAGAGGAGACCGGACGTGTTAGAGCCGAGCAGCTGAACTGTGAGAGAGCCACAAAACCTCCCCAACAACCAGCATAATAACGGTAACGCTGCTTTTCTTTTTTTGATTTTGTCGGGGTTCACGGCCTGCTCCGGTGAATCGGTGTCCGCTCGGCTCGGAGTCCGTGAAGCTAACTAAAGTAACGTCAAGGCGCTGTCGGTCGCCACTTCCAAAAAAAAAAAAAAAAAAAAAAAAATCGCCACAGGCTTTTTTTTTTTCTTTTTTCGTTGTCTTTCTTGATTCTTTTTGGTTTCCCGCTAGAAACGAGCCATGGCGTCGAGTGTCGCCGCTGGAGGTTTTAGTCGGAGGGGTTCAGGAGCTTCGGGAGGCTGAAACACTCGCCGTCGGCTCGGTTTCTTCCATCTCCGGCGGCCCAAAGTGAAGCGGCTCGGTCTGTTCTAGGTGGGACCAAAATGGCTACTCAGCGGCTGGGCTGGATTAGGACGCGTTCACGGACCGCTCCCAGCCTCCGACATCACAGCTCTCAATAGGAGGTCGTCCAACAACCGATAATCTTCTTTCTTTTTCTTCTTTCCCCACCGATTAATCAATTATATCTTAGTTAAATATTTATTTTTATATGTAAGGAAATATCTATTTCTACAAATATACGTTTTGCACACTTTTTCTTGTACTCTTGCACATTTATTTTTATCTGTATTTTAGATGGTGGTAACTTTACACTTTCTGCTGAAATAACCAAATGTTCCCCTCTGGGATTAATAAAGTATTTCTATTCTGTTCTATACAGCGATTAACAAAGCCACCACCCGATGTAAGGTTTAAGCTACAGCTGCCCTAAATTAACACCGTTGGAAATAATTTCTTATGTTTCTGTAATGATTAATACACCAGCATGTAGATGCTCTTTAAACCAAATGATATTTTTAATGCTAAAATATAATTCTTATATATTTTTTTATATTATGTTTTACTAAAAAAAAAAAAAACAGTAAAGCATATTATTATTTCTTGATTAAGATGTCAAATTATAGTTGTTTACTTGCATTCCTGAACAGAAAAATTTTGTTTTAGTAGTTGAATGTGATGCTTGATTCATTTCTGACTTCTTAGAGAAGCTCAGAGGCTCAGATTTGGATATAAAAAGGTGAGTTCAGTTAAGTCATTGAAATATATGTATTGTCTGGAGTCAAACAGCGTTGACATGATGGAGCTGTAAGGAAAAGAAAATGTGTTTCTGCAGACAAACAGCTCAACAAGTGTAGAACAGGATTTGTCTGCCATTTTTATCTATCACCGCCCTTTTAAAAATACATATTTGTTTTACTTTAAAAAAAATTTTAAGCTGTTCCACTTTTAAAAATATATATGTATCTATAAAATTTTCATGTTTTTTCCTCTCACATTTTGTATCCATGTATTCATTAAGTGTACTCACTTTTTATATATTTTTTGTTACAATTTTATTATAATAAAAAATCAATTATTCATTTTCTCATCCATACATTTTATGTACTTACTATGTATATATATATATATGTATTCCCACTTTGGACAAATGTATGCATGAAATGGACGTTTTTGTTTTTTTGTTTTGTTTTTTCCAAAGAAAAAGTTCATTGTTTATATTTGTTTTCCTTTTGCATAGATGTGTAGTTTTTTTTTTTTTTAAAAGAATTTATTTTACTTTTTAAAGTAATATAAGTATATGTATTTGCATTTTCCACATTGTTTTGACTTTTATTCAAGAAACATGAATCCATGTAACAAACAAACCTGATCATTAGCTGTGGACCTAAAATTTTCTTCCTTATCGATTTATCACTAAATATGACTGTAGACACTTTTTTTGTTTTTTGTTTTTTTAACCAAAACACAGGAATATTAAATCTACAGTGACATAAACACAGAAAAGGCTGCAGATCCTCAGAATGTCAGAGAATATTTCACATTTCTGCTCATCAAATAAGTTGTTTAATTGTTTGAATTGTGAGGAAATAAATTAACCTTCAGCACTGGACACATCATAACTTTCTTCCTAATTCTTCTTTCTTCATTTCCATCCTCCCCAGAGCACACTGAAATAGTTCTAATATAATTTCATACACTTTTACAACCCCAAACCTGCACAGTATCTCCTGTCATGTGAAGTTTGCTGTGGAGGTATTCTGAATGTTACATTTCCTACAGCACCTGAATGCAGCATGAGTGTCCAGCTGAGTGGTGGAGGAAACCAGCTGACCTCAGTCCATACAGTCTGTGTGCTGTACATGTACGTCTACACATTATATAATCCACAGACTGTATAGAGAGAGGCCATATATGTGTGTATATATATCTATATAGATATATATAGATGTATATATATATATATGATTGAATTATTGACGAGGCCTCAGTGACAAACAAGACAATAACCCTCTGTTCATTATTTAAATTAAATTCAAATATATTTTTAAGGATGTAACTCATATTTTGGACTGTGTTTACACGGATCCATTAGTAGTTCATCAACAGTTTATGAATTAAAGATGAGTTTAAAAGGCCTTGGGACTGTGTGACCTTCCGGAAAAGTGCAGCTAAAGTTTGTCTAAGTTTTAATCATTACAAAACAAGATGCAAATAAACTTTTACGTAAATAAGATTTTCACCTTTTTATATCCTTGCTCCTCTAACGGACCTATAAAGATTAATAAATGCTTGTTAACAATTAATAAAGCCGTTTAATACACCAGAGTTTTCACATTTTACTGCAGCACATTTAAATGTCATCCTCTGCTCAGGATCTTATTTTTGAATCAACATAAGCCCATCAAAGTGATTTAAAAGCTACATTATTGGCTTTTCTTCTGCAAAAATCCACATTTTTGTCCTGATATCTGGACTCATTTCAGAATGTTTCATGCAGCGCTGCATGTTGTTGGACTTTATGCCACGCAACATGGAAATAGTGACGTTTTTCCCCCTGGAGCTGATAGAAATAAGTTATTTTAACTGTAATATATTGCTGTTAAATTAAAATATATATATTTTTTAAGTCACTTAATTTAGAAAAAGTAGGATTACAATGTGCTGATTTGTTATTTTTCCACTTTCTGCATATTTGACAGGAAGATGTGACCGTGCCATTAGTCATTTTCTATTACTTAGTTAAGAAAACAGCTAAAAATAAAAATTTATATATATATATATATTTCTGATAGCCTAAATTACAATTTACAAAAGACATACCATCTTTTATTACAAATAACACTCCAAAATAAGAAAATATTCTCACTTGTTGGCTTTAAACTGACACACAAATTAATTTTCTTTTCATCTCCTGTCACGTAAACAAACATGAATATTATTTCTAATCCGACTTTGTGACGAAGAAAAGAGCAAAGCGAGCGCCACAGAGCAAGCGTTCCAGTGTGGTGGATAGCAAAACATTCATTCTTTATTGACTGGAAAAATACAGGGACCAAAAAAATGTGCAGTCAAAATGATCCCCAGAACAACCCATGATTAAAATCCCCGAAAGCGACTTCATCTCATCAACTGAATACATCTCGAAAAATCACAGAGTTAATGTGCAGCAAGTAAAGCGCTATGTTTAGTCATGCCACAAAGCAGGGGAGGGTCGGAGGAGGGTAGGGGGGCAGGGGCAGGGCAGGTAGTAAAGGAGGGGGAAAGGCCAGCCATGGAGGTGGGACGGGGGCATCGTGAGTCAAAGCCACAACACAAGAAAAGCATCAGCATCGTCATCCTCGTCTCTCAGATGGCGTCGATGTCGATGTCGTCCTCTTCCTTCTCGGGCGTGTCGGGTTTCACAGTCTCCACTTTGAGCTCGCGGGCCGAAGGCGAGTAAACCACCTGAGGAGACAAACCGGTTCACAGGCTTCAGCTCGGGCGGGTTTCTGGAATAACTGACGGCCGGCGTTTGAAAATTTAATGCAGATGCAGCGTCTGAGGTTTTCTGCAAATGGAAAAACTTCACCGCCAAAAAAACATCCAAACAAATTCAAATATTTCTAAATTTGTTTTGTTTGTTTTTCTAGCAGGCTTTTTTCCCCAATTGTAAATGCGGATATTGAGGCATTAAGTTTTTAATGTTTGTTTGATATGAAGCCTAAACAGGAAGTGACACAGACTCACTGAGACAAATTTAAGTTTAGTTTAGGGTTATAATTAACAAATGATCATATTTTTAAGCTAAGAAATTGTCTATTTTCCTCAAAAATCCATAATTTTACTGTGAATATCTGCATCAATTTCAGAACTCAGTTGAAGCTGAAGCAAATAAAAGCACGTTTACTGTGATTAATGTATATTTGGACAATATTTATTTGGATTAATTCAACACTGGAGTCATTAAAGATCACATGGAGCTCTTAAAAACCCACATCTACAGACAAATCCTGTGTTTTTCCTATTTATGTTTTTTTTTTTTTTTTTGTCTTTTTAATGTTTTGTTTTTTCACCCTTTACACTCCACTAGTATTATTTAAGACAAGGCAGAATTAAACCAGTTATCAGAGCCTCAAACTATAAAAACTAAACTAAAAGTGTCAAAAATAAACCATTTTCTTTAACCACATTCTGTAAAAAATTAAAAATTCTGTGTTATTTAGTGCAATTATTAAACTAGTGAATCAGCTGCCACTGACAGTCACGTGACTAAAACTAAAGATTGTTCAGCTGAACTGCAGGCAGGATACGAGGATGAAAAATTAAAGATCATAGCAGTAAAATATCTATAATATGAGCAGCTGACATCTTTTCCAGTGTTGTAACAGCTGTGGGCATTTGAAAATAATACCACATGTTGATTTTGGGGTTTTGTGGGTTTTTTTTGTTTTTAAATATGTAAAAATCAACAATATATTTAAAAAAAAAAGTTTTATTTAAAGAAATAAACTTTCCTTTTTGATAGATTTTGGTTGCTGTACTCAAACTCTACATGAGCAGAACGATTTCAAACACTTCAAGTCTTCGGAAACTTAAAAAAAAAAAAAAAAAATCATAAATATGTGAAATAAACTCTTAAATGTGAATATTCAGCAAGTCCCCTGGGTACCCTGGGTGTCCTGACGCTGCCATTCTCTACTAAATGAACTCAGATCAAACCGTACCTCCACGTTCTCATCATCTTCCTCCTCCTCTTCCTCGCTGCCCTCGCTCTCCTCCTCGGCCTCCTTCAGCCATTTCACAAACGGGGCGGCCTTGGCGTGGATCTCTTTGGCAAGTTCCTTGGAGACGTACTTCTTAGAAACCTGGAGGAGGAAAATGGATCCGATTAATGATAAGTCTAATGGAAAGTAATAAAGGAAACAAAGCTCTCATATACATGTTAACTGCACTTTTTATGTCTTCTTTTGCTCACAGTTAGACTAGGTGTTTTTAATTAGGTAATTATACAGTAATGTGGCACTAAGTAGCGCATATATATATTAATGGAGCTCCTAAATGTGTTGATAACTTCAAGGTGTATATGTACACAGCTTCAACTAACACTTACTGATCATTAATCCTTCAATTACTTTGAGTAATTGATGTATTTTTTTGGTCTCTAAAATGTCAGAAAGTGGCGCTAAATGTTGATCAATGTATCTCAAAGCCCACGATGACAGATTTAGTTTTATTACCAACACAGAGATTCATTTTTAGAAGCTGTAATCAGAACTTACAGGGTTTTTTTCCTTCCTAAAAATAATCAAAATGATTTGCAGATGACTTTAACAGGTGACAACCTATCGATGAATCAAAGCAGCTTTTTGTGATAATTTCTCTGCAAGTCAGCCCCAAAATGTGATATTTTCTCGACGTACATCATCCAATTTA